CCTGCAGTCACGGCATCCCCTTGGGATGCATCCCACACTGCGCGGGAGTCCAACCTGCAGCTCCCATCTCCAGGCAGCTGCTTTAGCCCCCCGAGCAGGGCACAGAGGCACCTCCCAGGGCTGGAGCCACCCCAAGCGCTTCCACCCAGCCTGGACAGCGATTTCAGCACGAGAACCCACCACAAGCCTGGAAAAATCTGTGCAAAGGTTAAAATTTGCAAGGTTTAGTAAGCAGCACAGCTTAATTCTGCGTTCAGAGCTGGAATCATAGAATGGTGAGGGTTGGAAGGGACCTTAAAGATCATCTGGTTCCAACCCCCCTGCCATCAGCAGGGACATCTTCCACCAGACCAGGGTGCTCAGAGCTCCATCCAACCTGGCCTTGAACACTGCCAGGGAGGGGGCAGCCACAGCTTCTCTGGGTAGCCTGTTCCAATGTCTCACCAACCTCATCATAAAGAATTTCTTCTTTATGGCTGGAGAATCATAGAGGCATAGGGTGTTTACAGCCATCCCCCCTTGTCCTATCACTCCACACCCTTGTGAAAAGCCCCTCTCCATCCTTCCTGTCGGCCCCTTCAGGCACTGGCAGCTGCACTAAGGCCACCCCGGAGCCTTCTCTTCTCCAGGCTGAACAGCCCCAACTCCCTCAGCCTGTCCTCATAGGAGAGGTACTCTCCAGCCATCTGATCGTCTTCGTGGCCTCCTCTGGACCCACTCCAACACATCCAAAAGTAGTTCAGACACTGCGTTTGGCTACTTAGTGACCAAGCTTGAGGATCCCCACACCAGGCTTTTGTTCATTCCCCATGAGGGTATTTAGATGACTGTAGCTGAGCAGAATCTTAAGCTTCTCTTCATTAGAGCTGAGTAGACTGAACTCACCAGGCACAACATGAGAGGTATCACTGAACGCTCCTCTCCTCCAGCTCACCGCTGACCTTCATCCATCCTCCCTCCCCAGCACCCCTCATCCTCTCCAACTCGCACACAGTCCCGTGGCAGAGACACAACAGCTCCTGCCCACCCCGGGACCCTTCAGGCACCCTCCCCAGCAGCTCCCCAGCCACCGCACCCCTCCAGCCCCCTCACGCTTCCGCCTCCGC